GTTTTTGGGGTTCCCCATTTCTGTGGTCACTCCATTTTTGGGGTTTCCTGCCATTTGGTGCTTCCCCTTTTTGGGGTGCCTGGTTTTGGGATCCCCCCGTTTTTGGGGTGCCCCCGTTTTTGGGATCCCCATTTTTGGGGTGCCCCTGTTTTTGTGTTTCCCCATTTTCGGAGTCCCTGTTTTTGGATTTCTCCATTTTTGGGATCCCTAGTTTTTGTGTTTCCCCATTTTTGGGGTTCCCCGTTTCGAGGTTCCCCGTTTTTGGGGTGCCCATTTTTGGGGTACCCATTCCCCATTCCCAGTTCCCCATTCCTGGTTCCCCATTCCCGGTCCCCGTTCCCGGTTCCCCATTTTTGGGATCCCCCATTCCCAGTTCCCCATTCCTGGTCCCCGTTCCCGGTTCCCCATTTTTGGGATCCCCTGTTTTTGGGTTCCCCGTTCCCGGTTCCCGTTCCTGGTTCCCGTTCCCAGTTCCCCATTCCCAGTTCCCCATTCCCGGTGCCCGTTCCCAGTTCCCCATTCCCGGTCCCCGTTCCCGGTTCCCCGTTTTTGGGTTCCCCGTTCCCGGTGCCCGTTCCCGGTGCCCGTTCCCAGTTCCCCGTTCCCGGTTCCCTGTTCCTGGTGCCCGTTCCCGGTGCCCGTTCCCGGTTTCCCATTTTTGGGATCCCCGTTTTTGGGATCCCCGTTCCCGGTGCCCTCACCCGCAGCACGCCCAGCGCCTCCTGGTGCCGCTGGTGCCGCAGCTCCAACTCCCCGAACTCGCACCACACGGCGGCCAGGTCCTCGACGCGGCGGAACGGCACGCGGGTGGCACGGGACAGGATGGACCGCGCCTGGGGACACAGAACGGCACACGGGTGGCACGGGACAGGATGGACCGGGCCTGGGGACAGGGACAGGGACATTGGGGACATCATTGGGGACACTGGGGACACGGCGGAACTGGCACGGGACAGGATGGACCTGGCCTGGGGACAGAGGGGCTGGCGTGGGGACATCGGGGACAGGGGGAACAGGTCTTGGGGGCACAGACAGGTCTGGGGGTCCCAGGTGGGTTTTGGGGTGCCCCAGCGGGGTTTGGGGTGTCCCCTGGTGGGTTTGGGGTGTCCCTTGGGGTTCAAGGGTCCCAGTGGGGTTTGGGGTGCCCCAGTGGGGTTTGGGGTGCGCTGGCGGGGTTGGGGTCCCAGTTGGGTTTTGGGGTGCCCAGGTGGGTTTTGGGGTCCCAGTGGGTTTTGGGGTCCCAGTGGGTTTTGGGGTGCCCCAGTGGGTTTTGGGGTGCCCCAGTGGGGTTTGGGGTCCCAGTAGGTTTTGGGGTGCCCCAGTTGGGTTTTGGGGTTCCCCAGTTGGGGTTTGGGGTGCCCCAGTGGGGTTTGGGGTGCCCCAGTTGGGTTTTGGGGTTCCCCAGTTGGGGTTTGGGGTGCCCCAGTGGGGTTTGGGGTGCCCCAGTTGGGTTTTGGGGTTCCCCAGTTGGGGTTTGGGGTGCCCCAGTGGGGTTTGGGGTGCCCCAGTTGGGTTTTGGGGTTCCCCAGTTGGGGTTTGGGGTGCCCCAGTGGGGTTTGGGGTGCCCCAGTTGGGTTTTGGGGTTCCCCAGTTGGGGTTTGGGGTGCCCCAGTGGGGTTTGGGGTGCCCCGGTGGGTTCTGGGGTCCCTCACGTCGTCCAGCTGCCCGTTGTCCTCGTAGAAGCGCGCGAAGGCCACCCAGAGCTCGTGGGGGCGGCCGGTGGCGCGCTGGGGATCCACCGTGCGCACGGCCTCGGTGAACGTCTGGATGATCTGGGACACGGGACAGCAAGGGACACGGGACAGGGGACACGGGACAGGGGACACGGGACAGTGAGGGACATGGGGACACGGGACAGGGGACACGGGACAGGGGACACGGGGACAGGGAGGGACATGAGGACACAGGGACATGGGGACACGGGGACATGGGGACAGGGAGGGACATGGGGACACGGGGACAATGAGGGACATGGGGACACGGGGACAGCGGGGACACGGGGACAGGGAGGGACATGGGGACAGTGGGGACAGAGGGGACAGCAGGGGACACAGGGACAGGGGGGGACAGTGGGGACAGCAGGGGACAGTGGGGACACCAGGGGACAGTCAGGGGACAGTAGAGACGGTGAGGGGACATGGGGACAGCGGGGACAGTCAGGGGACAGCGGGGACAGAAGGGGACACAGGGACAGTGAGGGGACATGGGGACAGCGGGGACATGGGGACAGCAGGGGACAGTGGGGATACCAGGGACACAGGCACGTTGGGGACAGCGGGGGACATGGGGACAGCAGGGACAGTCACGGGACAGTGGGAACAGCAGGGGATATTGGGGACAGGGGGGATGTTGGGGACAGCAGGGACAGTCAGGGGACAGTGGGGACAGCAGGGAACAGAGGGGACAGTGGGAACAGTGGGCATGTTGGGGACAGCAGGGGACATGAGGACATTGGGGACAGCAGGGACAGCAGGGGACAGTGGGGACATGGGGACAGCAGGAACAGAGGCACGTTGGGGACAGTGGGGACAGCGGGGGACAGTCAGGGGACAGTGGGGACAGCAGGGGATGTTGGGGACAGCGGGGCACGTTGGGGACAGCGGGGGATGTTGGGGACGTTGGGAACATTGGGGACAGTGGGGACAGCCAGGAGACATTGGGGACATTGGAGAGATTGGGGACACCGAGGACGGGGGGGACACAGGGACAGCACAGTCACTACAATGCCACCACCCAACCCCAAACCACCCACCCATAACCCTCGGCGTCCCCTCCACCCCGCCAGCCCCCGGCGTCCCCAGGTGTCCCCCGGTGTCCCCTCACCTTGTCGGGCTGTCCCTGGTGCAGGGCCACCCTCTTGTGCCACTCGTGCACGTTGTGCGGGTTCTGGCGCAGCAGCACGCTGTTCAGCAGCAGCGGCCGCCGCGCCATCAGCCGCTCGAAGCGCGCCAGGCGCAGCTCCAGCTCCACCTCCTCTGCGGGGACAGGGGACACGGGGTCACACGGGGTCACACAGGGGTCACACAGAGTGACAGGGGTCACACAGGGACAGGGGACATGGGGACACGGGGACAGCACGGGCACAGCGCCATCAGCCGCTCGAAGCGCGCCAGGCGCAGCTCCAGCTCCACCTCCTCTGCGGGGACAGGGGACACGGGGTCACACGGGGTCACACGGGGTCACACGGGGTCACACGGGGTCACACAGGGGTCACACAGGGTCACACAGGGTCACAGGGGACATGGGGACACGGGGACAGCGCGGGCACAGCGCCATCAGCCGCTCGAAGCGCGCCAGGCGCAGCTCCAGCTCCACCTCCTCTGCGGGGACAGGGGGGACGTGGGGTCACACAGGGTCACACAGAGTGACAGGGGTCACACGGGGTGACACAGGGTCACACGGGGTCACACAGGGGTCACACGGGGTCACACAGGGTCAGGGGACATGGGGACACAGAGGACATTCAGACACAGGGGTGCCCCCCCCAGTTTTTGGGGTGCTCCCCCAGTTTTGGGGTTCCCTGCTCAGTTTTGAGGTGCCCCCCTGGTTTTGGGGTCCCCCCCGTTTTTGGGGTGCCCCGGACACACCGGTGTCCAGCAGCGCGGCGATCACGCTCTCCTCGAAGCGCGCGTAGCTGTCGAACACCTGCGTGAAATCCCGCACCGTCATCACCGTCTGCACGGCCTCCTCATA